AAGAGTCTTCTTCATTCAATTCCTTTGGAAATGGATTTATTTCAAGAGCGCTTTTATGGCAACGTAATCGTGTCAGTGAAGGGAAAAGAGCAACATGTGCTCTCATAAGCTCTCCATCTGACTATATGATGTATGCGTGATATTCAATCATTGATACATGCCCTGTGCTTTGCATATATCCAATATATTGATGTCCTGAACATCATATTTACGTCTTCCTTATAATTCGACATCGAATTATAGATAACGTCATTCAGTTGATATCTTCGAATTATAAAATAGAAGGATGTTTTGGCAAATAATTCTTTATATACACAAAGAAATATAAAATTTTTTTCATATTTAATTTCTTCTTCTTTTTCTTCTTACGTTAGATCTTTGGCCTGTTATATTTCTCATATGCTTGTGATGCGCACACTGATTATTCAATTGTCACGAACATATATTTAGTTTATATGCATCATATAACAATGGTTCAATAATATCACGTAAAAATTAATATTAAGAAAGACTATGAACTAAATAATAACGAATGTAAATATGTAAAGAATAAATATATATAAGAAATAAATGTAATTGTCATAATCTAATAATAAATAAATGTCGAGCCCGATTGGGTCATCTTCAATGTTACGTAATTATAAACATAATTAAAATAGAAAAAAATCAATAAATTTAATATACTCTGTGTATGGACTCTGTGTATCACAGCCGGACGATTAAGACGTTTCTTCGCAATACAGTTTTCTAATTTTTATTCTTTTTTGCCAACATGATATTATCCTTGGCAGAGGAAATTCTATATTAATACTTTTTTGGAATTATTTTTATCTTTCAGACGTCGCAACATTGTAAATTTAAGATTTTAACAAGAATTGTTATATTAGGTGTAATAAAAAGAAATCCATTATTTTTGCATGAAATTGAATGGAAAAATAATGGATTTCTTTTTATTACATCTAATATTTACGATGCTTGTGAATATTTTTACGCTTTCTGACATCAATATGGAATTTTATCTTTTTGACATCTATCATTTATGCTATCATTGAGGATGTAATATCGGATTCACAAAGACAGGATGCAATTCTACTAATGGCCTGTTGCATTGCATTATTTTATTAGTTGATCCGATTTATTTAAGTATATTAAATTTGTTGATCTTTTCTATTTTAATTATGTGCATATGTAGCATTGAAGATGAGCCGATCGGGCTCGAAACGACGTTTATTTATTATTTACGTTAGATTATGACAATTACATTTGTTTCTTATATTTATATATTTACATTCATTGTTATTTGGTTCATAGCTTTTTTTAACATTTATTTTTTATTTAGTTTATTATTGTTTAATTAATATTTAATTTATTATTTATTTAATTCCGCAAATAAATTTTGTTCCATATTTTTGTTTCATATGTAATAATTGATTTTTAAATATATCATTTATTTACAATTATATTCTTTAAATTATTAATTTGTAATTATTAATTTGTATTTGAAGATTTATTTGCAGTGCAATTAAAAGACTAGAATGAAATTAAGAAATTCTAACAACTTAACTTTATAATAAACTTCAATTTTTTTACATATCTAGTGTTTAATTTATAATATTAAAATTATTAAAAATTATATCGATGTTTAAATTTAAGGAATAATCAATTTTTAGACATCTTATTTAGTTTAAGTTTCTTCGAGAGATTAAAGTATACGATCGACAATCTTAAATTTTTAAATACGTATCCTACTTCGATATGACAGAAGGTTCTGCGACGAAAGAGACACCTGCTCTAAATTTTTGTGGTAACTTGTGCCCAAGAAGAAAATTTCTGAAGTTCGCACATCGGGGAATTGCGTAGCGTAGCCGAGAATTGTAAATGTAAACCTTCTCGAAGAGGTTTCGTAAATTTGGCAGTATTTCTGTTCAAATTTTCAAGAGATCAACTAGTTTCGATATAGTTTGTCAAATGAAAAGTATTGGCGGAGCGTATTTGACACGTGATTTTGAAAACGGGATGTTTAATGACAAAGTGAGAATTTTACGGATAATGAATTTCGAACATGTATAGCATCCATTAAACATTTTAATGCTGCAAATCTTCGGACAAAAGCAAAATCAGTTTTAAACATATAATTGCAGCGCGTAAAATATAGAATGATGATAATTAATGGGAAAGCAATATTTTCCTACGCATTCCAAAGCACGCTTTGCAACAACAGATGGTATTTTGCAATAATGTAATCCGTAGCGCAATTATAAGCGAAATGCCCGGAAGTCGGACAACGGCGGTACCATGGTATAATAGGCAGCATTATATCTCCTAAAAAGCTCACAAAGGCATGAAAAGTATTTCAGGATAAGACAGGAAAAAGAATTTTTCTTCGTTCCTTCCTTCGCACACGAGAGAATGGAAAGTTTTTCTCCCTGATTCGCTCGGAGAAGACACAATAGCGTGAATTAGGATATTAAGTAAGGGTAGCTATCGGGATAAGCGGAATGAAGGGAAAGAATTTCTGGACTGACACGCAAGGATTATTACTATACATTTAATATCGGACAGATGTTTCAAGCTTGTTAAAATAATTTTATAATAAATTTTATGATTAATATAAGAAATTAATATAAGAAATTATTCTGTAATAATTGATTTATTCGTTCGATAAAACGTCTAGGGATGCTTGTACTTTTATCGAAATAAAAGTGTATTTGAAATGAAAATCATGAAAAAATTTACAAATCTGAATTTTTGTACCATATCGTACCATCACGCGTGGTAGCCGTTTTTATCAATTTTAGTCCTATTTGTCCTGGACTAACACAGTTCTCTCTCTCTCTCTCTCTCTCTCTCTCTCTCTCTCACCTTTATATTTGTTTCATTCAGTAATTATGAATAAAATAATATTGAATTTTTCACAATTTTGCGCACTTTACAATATTTTTCGTAATCAAAAGTTTATGTGTATATATATATA